CACCAAAAGATGGAACATCAAAGGGTCCACAAATATCGGTGTGTATAATTTCAAGAAGCTGGGTGCTTTTTGTGGCACCTTTCTTACTATGTTTGGTTTGCTTTCCCTTAATGCAATCCAAACACATAGTAAAATCAGTAAAATTTGGATTCGGAAGAATCTCATTTTTTACTAATCTTTCTAACCTCTCTTTGAATATATGACCCAAACGTCTATGCCACAAGTAAGCAGAACTTTCATCTAGTGAACTACGTTTAATTCCAACATTATGTTGAACAGTAAGAAGGGATTCAGAAAAATCAATATCGAGTTTCAATTTATATAAACCATCACTGAGAAAGCCAGAACTATAAAAAATAGCATTCTTGTATAAATTGAAACATCCATTTTCAAACTTTAAATCAAATCCAGAAACATCAAGTCTTGAAAGAGAAATCAAATTCCTAGAAACTGAAGGTACATAAAGAGTCTGTAATAGATCAAGGTGACGTCCAGTCTCCATGATCAAACGATAAGTCCCTATGCCTTCAATTGGAGCCTTCATACGATTTCCCATGAACAAGAAATCCTTATTTGGATTTGTAGTTTGGATCGTAAGGAATCCCTGCAACGTAGTAGATACATGAGCAGTTGCACCAGAATCAAGCCACCAAGTATTATTAGGAACTTCTACTAAATTTGATTCGAAACATACAAAAGCACTAATTGTACCTTTCTTTTCGAACCAAGCTTTACGTTTCAGGCAATCTTTCTGATAGTGTCCTTCCTTGTTACAGAAACGACACGTATCTGCCTTATGTTCCTTGTTAGCATCCTGTTGAGCTTTAGCAGGTGCTTTCTTCTTCTTGAACTTGTTGGCCTTCACTTTAAGTCCTTTACCAGCTCCTTGAACCATGAGGTTAATTGAATGATTCCCTTGTTTCTTAAGTCTTGACTCCTCCTGAGTAAGCATACTGGACAATTCACTAACATTCCACTTATCCTTAATAGTGTTATAGTTAATTTGAAAAGGTCCATACTTAGGAGGTAACAAGTTCAGAATAAACTGAACTAAGAATGAATCATCCACTTTCATCCCCAAGGTCTGAAGTCTTGCTGCAATGTTAGTCATCTCGATGATATGATTTTGCATACTACGCGACCCATCAAACTTCATGGTCGTGAGTTCAGCCATTAGTGTACTAGCAAGAGACTTATCTGCAGAACGAAAACGTTCTTCCACAAACTTCAGGTATTCCCTCGCACTTTCTGTTTGTGGAATAGTATTCTTAATGTTGTTGGCAATATTCATTCGCATAAACATAAGGCTTAGCCTGTTAGAGCGTTTCCATGCTTTATGGAAAGACTTCTCATCCGCACTTCTCGAATCAGTAATGGCAACGGGCTTATCATTCAACAGAGCCAAGTCAAGATCCATCACACCTAAGTGGAACTGGACTTGTTCCCGCCATTCAGAGAAGTTCAATCCATTGAACACAGTAACAGACGAAGCAAGCGAATGAAAAGGAATAGTTGCAGAATAGATAATACATGCTCACAAATCAATATGGATTCAACAAAACAGTTAAAGCATATCGCAATTCTCCTTTGGGTAGATACTACGACACACTATCATAATTTAAATGTCATTTAGTCTTAATAGGTATTTAAATATTTTTTAACCAAATATATATGTCATCTTTGGACAGACAATATATATTTGACTAAGAATATTAATTTACCTCATCATATTCACTATTCATAGAATAATTGATGCACCTTTGGGTAAATCCTTAAGTTCTAGCAATAGTGAAAATTAATTTAACCACTATTTTTAAATTATAGGCATTTCATTAATTTCATGGATAAACTATAATTTTATGTATGCAAATTTCTAAACATACTAGTTTGGTCACCTTGGTGACTACCAAACTATATAAACATAAATGCATACATAAAATACCAGAAAATTTTATGCATGTGAATACTTTAAACAATCTAGTTTGATCACTTTGGTAATTAACAAACTATATAACTTTAAATACATCCATAAATAATCAATGACCCTGATTTTAAAATAGTAGCCTAAAGAAACAAACATAATTTCATGACCACAATTATAAAACAGGGACATAATGGGATAACTTAGTAACAACACAATTCCTATACGGCACTGCAAGGTGACCGCCACTGAATTATTCTCACTGAATTATTCTTCAAGGTATAGCAGTTCTATGCACAGTATGTCCTTTTCCAACAACAAGGTCCTTTTAATTTGGTTGTCTAGCCAGATATAAAGTATATCAAAAGTTGTAGCAGCAACAACTACTGAGAAATTCCACATTACCCATAGAAACATGACGCTGATGAGCTTAAGCCCAAAAACCATCTTGTAATATATTATTAGAACAAATTTCTTATTGAAAATTTTGATCGGTAACTTTATAACTTTAACAACAAAGCTTCTTTTATTTTACTTAATAATTTAATGATGGACATCATGAACCAAATTGATTAAAGATAGTAACAGTCATAAGCGTTTCCTACCAACAATTACTTTTAACAGTATTCTGTTGATTTCAAAAGGAACACGAAATCCAAAAATAGACACATAATTCATACATGAGCACACGTTATACATATATGTGTTTAACAATTATTCTTTCACGAAGATTATTGGTCCAAGTAATCCAGGCTCGTGATACCACATGTGAGCATAAACTTTAATTGCACCAGGATCTTGAACATGATAATCTTACATGTAATCGTCATAGAAAACATACCTGAAGCGGAATCCATGATGTTGAAGCGGAAGCGTTAATTCAAAACTGGTTTCTCGCCCCTTGCCCTAACTTTATGTTACCGCCGCCTTTAGAGATGAAGGAGAGAATAAAAATACGGTAACCCTAATGGGTGGGGAGAGGACCAATTTATAGAGGTTCTCACTTAATCTGGTACGTCCATCAAGTAACCAATCGGACGGATGAGATTTGATAATTAATTAAATATTAATTATGGGCCTTAGACCTATTGGGTCACACATACATAGGAAAATAATTTACAATTGAATCCCAGAATTATAGGTAATGTAAAGGAAAGATATTAAATTACAGAGATACATTCCTAATCCTAGACGATTACATCAATAAAATAAAATTAGATCTTTGCAGAATGAAATAAAATAAAATTTGAAATCAAGCGGAAGATATTGTTCATATATGAAATTAAGCTGCTGAAATTGTTCCTTTAGTCCCCCTCAAGTTAGGGGAGGTGTCAACGACTCCTAATTTGATTAGATTGGGTTGAAATGATGAACTGGGTAGTGGCTTATTTGAGATGTATTTAGACTGAGAAAAGATCAAACCATATGCATTTGGAAGGACTTCAACACCTATGAAATAATGCAGTAGCCCAAGATCCTTGAGAGAAAAGCGTTTAGATAAGGCATTCTTGAAATTATTGATGGTTGTCACATTATTTCCTGTCACTACGATATCATTAACATAAACAAGAAGATATAGTTGTATACCCATTGAGTGAAATATAAACAAAGAAGTATTTGAGTGAGATTTTCATAAAACCAAGCGAGATAAGAAAGTCCTTGAATTCATTGTACCATGATGTGGGGCTTATTTGAACCCATAAATGGCCTTTTGAAGGCGACATATATGATTTGGATAGTCTAAATATCCAAAACCTTTTAGTTGTTTCATATAAACATCTTCTTCAAGATGAACTTGAAGGAAATTCATTGTTGACATCTAGGTAATGAAGGACCAACAAAAGATCTATTACTTGTCTACGGTGTTGTGCTTTTCATCAGGAGGTATGAGCTCTCATGTTTTGTTTTTAAGAAAAGCATCAAACTTCTACCTAAATTCTTAATTTCTACCATGAAAATGCATAGATTAAAATCTGCTAACCTATGAAGTTGGGATGAAAAAACTCTTCAAAATCGCCTCTAGGCCGAGCTCAAACTTGAAATGGTGAGAAAAATGACTTAATACCCGACTTTGGGACCTTTTAATCAGTGGGCGTCAGGACTTACTCGCGTTCACGAAGAACAACAGCCTGAGTGGCCTTCGCGTTCTCTATGGCTTGTCCCCCTGGCCTTCGCATTCACGAGCCTGGGGTCGCGTTCGTGTTGAGCAACAGACCAACTCCCCAGGTCCCTCCCTAACACTACGTGTTCGCGAAAGAAGTGTCGCGTTCGCGAAGGTTAAACACCCCACTACTTCGCGTTCGCGATGAGTAATTTCCTCCCCAGCCCAGATTACCCTTCGCGATCGCGAAGCACGTTGCACCAGACACCAGAAACTTAGCTGAAGTTGCAATCTCTAAGTCCAGAAATGACCCATAGCCTATCCAATACTCACCCGAGCCCCTCGTGCTCCAAATCAAACATTCACACAAGTGTAAGAACATCATACTAACTCGCTCACATGATCAGAACACCAAAATATTACCTAGTACTATGGATCAGACATCAAAATGCATGAAATTTTCAAAGAAACTCAAGAACTTTCAAATTCACAACCGAGCTTCCGAATCATATCAAATCAACTCCGTTTTGCACCAAAATTTGTGGAGAAGTCTTAAATAGTAAAATGAACCTATACCAAGTTCCGAAATTGAAATCCGAACCCGATAGCCATAAAGTCAACCTACGGTCAAACTTCGCAGTTCCTTATACTTTCAAATTACCAGTTTTCAACAAATAACGTCAAAACAAGTTAGGGACTTTCGAATTCAATTTCGGGCATATGCTCAAGTCCAAAATCACGATACGGACCCACCGAGACCGTCAAAATACTGATTCGGGTCCGTTTATACAAAATATTGACCGTAGTCAACTCAAATCATCTTAAAGGCTAAAATTCATATTTTCTTCAGTTTTTCACATAAGATTTTTCCAGAATAATATGCGGATTGTGCACACAAATCGAGAAATGCTAACGGAGCTAATTGAGGTCATGAAATACGAAATAAAGGCTAGAACTCAAAATGACCTATCAGGTCATCACAATATCATCTTGTCACGCAAATAAGTGTAGCTATTAAACCAAGTGTTGCCACGTTGATTTAGTACTTGAAGCAAAAATATTTGTTTAGCTATAATATTTTATTTTAAATAAGTTATTGTGCCTAAAAGGTAATATTGCTATGCTAAGTTTTAGCTCGTAGTTAAAAATAATATTAGCTACGAAATTTTGTTATAGCAATAACTTCGTGGCTATATCATCTAACTATTGACACAAGTTTTTGATAACTTGAAGCAATACGTACTAGCCACGATTTTTAAAATCAATAACTAAGATTTCGTAGTTATATATGCATAATGTTGTGTCTTATGTCCGAAGGTTTTTTTTTTGGTTTTTTTTCATTCTATGGGTATACGTATTAACCCATGTCATTGCATCACATTTCGTCTCACTACTTTTACCTGATTTATTAAACACCCAATTGACTAGCTAGCATATGAAGCAAACATGGAATTTCTCATTGCCCTACACAATGGACTTCACCATGTGCTCTGCAAAGGTAGTTAACCAGAAAGCAACTTGAAACAACAACCTCTATGACCAAAAAGGAATCTTTCTCCTCCCATAAGAGAGCTCTAAATTAGTTGATACGAACAAAATATTTGATATTCTCCTATATATAGAGAAACATCTTGCAGCTCTTAATCTGAAAGAATTCACTTAAAATTCAAGAGAAAGAGTAATATTCCCATTAATTAATGGAAGCCAAAGTAGGAGCATCTGAAGACCGTTTTGAACCATCGTACGAGTGGCTACGTGAACAAAGACATGATGTTCTCTTAGTTCATCTCCCAGCTGGTAAGGAATGCTCCCTTTAATCCTTTTTAATTGTCATGTTTGTTTCTTACACGCCCCTTAATAATATATTAATTTACAGGATAATTTGATTAAATTATTATTTGATACTACTCTTTCATTCACCACATTAATCACTCTATACATTTATTAGAGTAAGAACACAAGGTGGAAAAAATAATTAGTTCTATCTTGATTTGTTAGAGTATTATGGATCAATTACTTTCAGTAACCATGACTAAAAAGGACGGAAGGAGTAATAGAATTTTCACATTCTACATTACGAGAAAAGGCATTATATAGAAGGTAATCCAGGTTTCAACAATGAAATACTACGTACGGCAAAAACATTTATCAACATTCAATATTCTCAATGTAAAATGGTGTACATAAGTCATTCATAAAGTGCATATTTCTCTTATTAATGTATTCACTTAAGTTACTCCATCCATCCCAATTTACGTAACATTGTTCAAATTTCGAGAGTTAAATTTCTTAATTTTAACCGTTAATTTGGGCAAAAAGTTTTTTTATTTTTTTAAAATAAAATTTATATATTTGAAAACTACATAAAAATTACTATAAGTCACAATAATTAACAATTTAAAAGACATGAAAATACTATAATCAAAGCATAATTTATTTGACTCTCGAAATCTGAACGGTGCCACATAAATTGGAATAGAGAGTACTATATTTGATAATCTAGCCAACTCATTGTTTGATTCACTTCTCGATTTATACTTATAAATTATGTTTGCTTTTTTTCTTTTGTACAAAATGTGAAAGTTGAAATATCCATGACACTTTAATCAACCTAAAAAGTTGAATAATGATAAGCGGCGGGATTTTTAAGCTATTTATTTATTCTTTTCTTTGCATGGAAGAATTCAAGGATAAAGAAGGGTTGAAGGTACAAATCAGCAGTTTTGGAGGCTTGAAGGTTTCTGGAGATCGACGAGTGAATAAAAAAAGATTGAGATTTTTCAGGGAATTTCCAGTATGGAAGGACTATGAAACTGACGAAATCCAGGCAGAGTTTGAGAAAGGTGTTCTTAAGATTACATTGCCAAAGAAAATTACTAAACCACCCCCAGCTGATGAGGAAAAAGGATCAACTAAAGCATCAAAGAATTCAAGATTGAACAAGTTCACAAAGGTGGTTTTCGGTGTTGCAGCTGCGGTTGTTGTGGCTGCAGGCCTCACTGGTTTTGCTTATTATACTTTTACGTTTACAGTAATTGAAGATTGAGTAAAAGCAATTATGTAACTTCACCCGCATTGGAGTCCGACTATATCCGAATAAGCGCCGCATTTCCTATTCGGGAGAAAGCGCTCACTACTAAGAATTTTTCCATACCCAGGTGGGAAACCAAAAAAAAAACTTTACATATATGTAAAGTCAGGCCTCTTTATAATAGCATCACTATAACAATTATTTACTATAAAAGTCAAGTTTTTTTGGAACCAATTTTCATGCTACGTAATAATATATGTTATTTATAACAACACTTTGCTATAACAATCAAAAAACTCTAGAACAAACGAGATTGTTATAAAGAGGTTTGATTGTATTGTTATTATTTTACATCCCTCTCACCTAGCATATTTTGTAATAAACACTACCAAATCCATGTTCAAGGTCCACTAAACCTATCGATGTCAGAATAACCTGCAGGAAGGGCAAACAATACCACAGGGTGTGAAAAAGAATCGGAAGGTTGTAAAGGCAAGGATTACAATTAGCATGTAAGCCAGTATCACTTGATTTTCTTCACATCGCAGACTTCTGACACTACTTTTTTCTTTTTCTTTTTTTATAAAATTTCCCAAAGGGAAGTTGTATTCACGAGTATAGGAACAAGAAGGGGGTTTGGCCTTACCTTATAAGTTACTACAACATAAGGACAATATCTTTGTCCTTCAAAAAAGGGATGGCCAAAAACAGAGACTTATTTCCATCCCTATAATCTAATAAGACTGACTTACAAAAAAAATAGCCTTGTCATATCTTAGCTTTAAACTTGATATCTGGAATTTGTCCAAAATGAAATGGCCCTTTGCTGCTCGTAGTAGTTCTTGGAAAGAGTATGTCACGATCCAAAATCAATTAAAAGTCGTGATAGCGTCGGACACCATGGTCAGGTAAGCCAACAATAAATAATAAATTTGGCTCTTATTTTAGCATTTTGAAATCATAAATGTTTCTTTCAATTAAATAATAAGAAATAAATTTCAAAGTAAATAATAATATTTTTTAAAAATTCCAATATTGAACAACCCATACTTATTATAATACCCCGTAAATTTGAATCGGTTGTGGATGCATTAAATGAGTATCAACGTGATGATAATCAATTTGTTATGATAATAAGTGTACAAGGCATATCATAAGTGATTTAGGGTCCAAGTGTTGGGAATAAACCCCGGAAAAATAATATTCACGGTATTAGTGATAAACGGGGAACACTAAGTTATGGTTAAATCAGCAAGAATAGAAATGCAGCAATAATGACACCAAGATTTTACATGGAAACTCTTCTGAATAAGGGAAAAAACCACGGCCAAGAAGAGCAACTGATATCACTATAGCGAGGAATTTTACACTGTGTAGTAACGAGTACAAATACTCCTAAGACCACTACACCCTCAAAAGAAAAAATACTCTTTTGCTTTTTCCACCTCACTATAATATCTCTCACACTCTATTTTTCTTCACGGACTATTTTCTTATAGTCTATGGAATACCTTGCTCTCTCTCTTTTCTCTCTTTTTTTGGTGTCTTACAAATGGCTCAGAAGCTCTCTATTTATAGAGATTTTATATCCCTACAGATGTCATCAGTGACATCAAAAGAAAGGAGGAGATATTCAAATTCTTCAATTTGAGCAATTCAACAAAAACGGTGGCTACCAAAAATGACTTAGAAGTCTTTATCACGTCTATTTTCTTTCTTCTTCATTTATGGGGATGGACCCCACACCAAGGAGAGACCTAAGTCTTAGCCAAGTCGAAAAATTACATGATAGACTAAAATTCTAAATGAGTGCGCCACAAGACCATACTTTCGACGAGCATATCTACAAATATATGGGGTGCATGTTGACATTTTTACAGATCACAAGAGCCTCCAGTACATCTTCAAGCAAAGAGAATTGAATCTACGTCAGAGGAGGTGGCTTGAATTACTTAAAGATTATGATGTTGATATCCTCTACATCAGGGGAAGGCCAATATTGTAGTCGATGCTCTCAGTCGGCGTTTTATGGGAAGCTTAGCTCATGTTGAGACAGACCAGCGAACTATGATGAAAGAAGTTCACCGCTTAGCAAGTATATGAGTTCGACTTTTTGACTCCGAAGATGGTGGCATTGTTCTTCAGACAGGGGTGAATCCTCCTTAGTAGCCGAAGTGAAGAAAAAGTAATTCAGTGATCCCTACTTATTGCAGCTGAAGTAGGGAATTCACAAACACAAGACTACAACCTTTGAACACACTACAACAAGTATAAGCTACGTCGATATTTAATTAGTGACCTTTATAATAAATGTCGGAAAAAAGATAATTTATTGACATTTCTTAGAAAATGTTACAAAAATACTGACATTTAACTAAAAATGACAAAAATATTGTGATATTTGATTTAAATGTCACATAATTAGTAATAAAATGACATTTAATTAGTGACATTTATAATAAATATCAACAAATTACTACTTTTTCTTTTTTGGTAAAAGAAAATTACTACTTACTAATTTCAAAAAGAGAAAAATATTTTTTGCAAAACTTCCCCCCAAATTTTCCCTCTGAAAATCTCCCCAGAAAAAACCCTACTCCCAGCGACATCCCTCAGAAGTCATAACAATAACATTCAAGTTCATTTTCCCTCCCCAATTTCTCTATCTCATCCAAATCCCTCCACCCCAACCGTGAACCTCAAGCACCTTCGGGAATAGCAGTATGAATGTATCCTAGAGTACTGTCTTCTTACTTAATCTCTCTTTCCATCTCTTTGTGTACTGATATTGACACATTGGAAATTACCATTTTTCTTTCTTTCTTGGTTATATTCGAATTGTTCCCTCTTTCTGGGGTGTATTTTGATTTCATGGAGGAATTAAATCATGTTTAGAAGTATTTTAAGTTTATAATTTCGAAGCATAATCTATGTTGTGATTTTATTGTGTGAGTATAATATTGTGGTTATTTGATATGGATCTGCAAAATAGAAGTCGTGGGGTGTTATTGTACAATATAGTTATGTGGATATCACTTTCACAGATTATGCCCTACGAATGTTTGACAAAATTCTTGAGAGAACATTTTAAATTTTTTGACCTTCTGTATTGCTTATTCATTTCCGAATATGAACTAAATTGATGAGGTTTCCTGAATTCTTATCTGATCGATTCAATGATGTGCAGACCACCAACAAAGGTTTCCTCTAATCTCAAGGTTGCACAACTCATATGTTGCTCTATTCAAAAGGAAAGCTAACAATGTTTATTGTCTGTTGTTGCCTTCCACACCTCCATTGTGAGTATCACTGCGCTTTATCTGTGAGAAATTTTAAGCTTAGTAACTTGTTCAATGAGAAGAATATGTTTCCTTCAATATTATTGGGAATCAAGAAGTCATACTTCTTCTCTGTTCTTTGTGGCCTGTATATGTGTGTGTCTGTTTGAGTTTGTATCTCATTTTCTTTTTCCTTTTTCTCTTTCTATTTTATTTTTTGACTAAATATATTCACTACTAAACAATATTTTTGGATCAAGTAAATTTTAATTTTGTGTTTGATAAAACATTAAGTTAACGTATTAGATTTTCATCTTTCTTTATAATAAGTCATTGTCCAGATTGTCTAATTATAGGGCGTTATTACTTTGATAATTGTTTCTATCCTTATGGTAATTGTGCAATCATCAGCTGAACATGTATACAATTTACTAGGTTGAAATGTACTGATAGCTATGCTGGTTGGTTAGCTGAAAAATAAGGTTGCACACATGTGATTGGCCCGTGTTCGTGTGATATGGAGTCACAGTGAGAAGGTCTAGTGTGTGGCATCTTATGGTAAGGTCCTTATAGATTTGACAGCAAATTCTTTCTTTCTTAAAGTTATTTTTTCTACTCATAAGGATTTTTTATTAGTTGATGGAAGATAACTCCTGAAATAGTTCAGTTGATTGCTCTACTGCATAAAGATGATGCTATTGGTAAAAGAAATTGCACTATATAACTTCATATTTTTAAATCATTCTTGCATGTAGATTATGATATCTTCTTTTAACTTTCAACTACTTGCTAATTTATAACCCATTTTATAAAAATATAGATTGACAACCTCAAACAACCTTCTTGTCTCAATTTAAGGAAAATAGCAGAATTGGAGAGGAATCTGCTAAAGGGAAGTAGCAGAAAAAGTGGAATTGGAGGGGAAGTTGCTAAAGGGAAGCAACAGAAAGAGTGGAAGAAAGATTTGTGGAAGTGAAGAAATCTTTTGTTGCTGAACTAGTTGCATTTTACATGAATCCAGACTAATAGTTTGATCCAAGCATTATTCAATTATAAAGACGTACAATTATGCACAATTTCATTCTTGGAATTAGTTATAGAGATCTTCTATATACAAATAGTTTATTTCGGTTCACATTCTCTATGCTGAATTACATTTGTAACTATATATTGATACTTGATGGTTATGATGTCTATATTTCTAGTAAATATCCTTTCAATAGTAAGTGCAAACGTCGATGAATAATTTTGACATTAACAAAATGTATTGCATAAGTGTCACTAAACTAAAAAATTTCCGACACTTCTAAATGTCGTAAATAAAATAAATTAGAAACCAATATTTTTTTACCGACATTATGTGAAATGTCACAAATTATATTGTGACATTTTCATAAAAGTCAATAAATAAATGTCGTAAATCTTTTACCGACATTAGTAAAAATGTCGGAAAATTCCCGACATTGAAATTTACGACATTTGAATTAAGTGTAAAATAAATGTCGGTAAGTGACTTTGTGACATTTATACGACTTAATACAACATTTATAAAATGTCGTCGTAGCTCATATTTCTTGTAGTGACAAGGGGGAAATGATGGTACATTGAGGTACAAAGGCAAACTATGCGTTCCAGACGTAGATGGGCTCAGAGAGCGGATTATGTCAGAAGCCTACGATTCCGGTATTCTATTCACCCAGGTTTCACAAAGATGTATCATGATCTTAAGGAGATTTATTGGTGAAACGATATGAAAAAAAACATAGTAGATTTTGTGGCTAAGTGTCCAAACTGTTAGCAGGTGAAAGTCGAACACCAGAGGCCTGGTAGTTTAACTCAGAGTATAGAAATTCCCGTTTGGAAATGGGAGATGATAAACATGGACTTCATAACAGGTCTACCTCGCTCATTTCGGAACCATGATTCGATTTGGGTGATTGTAGACCGACTTACCAAGTCAGCTCACTTCTTGCCAGTGAAGACTACG